TAACTATACATGCTATTCTTGTCATGAGCATCAAGGTGTGGGGGCGCTGCGGTGCAAATTCCACATGTTTAGTACATGTTAACTCAAAGATTCGTAGAAAAAATATAAACGTTGGACTCTGTGGTCGATTCTGTGTTAAGGTAAGGCATGTTATTCGCAATTATGTGTTGTGGCTGGGTTGTTGACTCTCGATGCCTAATTGAACGGAGGAATTATGGTATTCTTCTGTAGCCTGACGACGACTAACTTTACGTTAACCGTTGTTCATGTGAACTCAAAGACAGCCTGATGCTTTGTATATAGACTATTTGTAGGTGGCTGTTTGTTGTTTCACCTATCAATTCGTGTCGATAAAGTGTAATCGGGTAAATCCTGTATAGTGATTTATCCTATATAGTGCTTGCATAAAGCAAGTAGTGCATACACTTGTAGCTGTTATGTATCTTTGTAAGTCATTGTAAGCCCTCTTTTGAGGCAAAAGTGTATTAGCACGGTATTAGTTCGAACACTGCGCTCAACGATTCATTTTTCCAAACCCCTCCTTTGCGTGATGCTAATCTGCGGTGATTGGTCCGATTGGTCTCGTTTTCATTTCATCATGCCTGTAATGCCTGATAATCCTATAAGATCATAGCATGTCACACTGTGCGACATGGATCTAATAAACTTGGCTACGACATGTTTAGACAGTACGATGATGGCACCTATTGACTTGTATGATATGACGCGCATTACTATAGAAGAATAAAACATCATCAGCATGTGCAAGTGGTAAACAAAAAGAGCATGATAAATCACTCTTTAGCTGTTGTAGTTTTTATGTGTGCTGAAAAAAACTGGAAGAGGCGAAAGAGCCACGATCACAGAAAACGCCACGATTATTTCGCGATGCCAATCTTACGTCTAGGACAGCCGAAAATCATGCAGTGTGTCTCAGGCTTTATCATTCATCAAATTGTACTTAAGTTTGTTTTGTCTGCATTTTAGCACATATTTATTAGTAAATACAGTGTTATATTAATAATAATATAGTATTTAAAAGGGATAGTTCACCCAAAAATGAAAATTCTGTCATTAATTAGGCCTACTCACCCTCATGTAGTTCCAAACCCGTAAGACCTTCATTCATCTTTGGAACACAAATGTAATTTTTACAAAGCTACAAGATTAATTTTTGTGCGCATTCTGCGTAAACAATTCTTCTCCCATGTGTTACCGTATTCCGCCATTATGGAGAGTAACACGATGTGTTATCGAAGCATCACATGCATGTGTCGTGAAACTCTTTATAATGGCGACAGATGGGATGAGGAGAATTTTGATGAATTGATGAATTTTTGTTTGCTTTGCACACAAAAAGTATTCTCGTAGCTTTGTAAAATTATGGTTGAACCACTGATGTCACATGGACAATTTTAACAATGTCCTTACTACCATTCTGGGCATGGGAACATTCAGTTGCATTGCTGTCTATGGAGGGTCAGAGAGCTCTCGGATTTCAACAATATCTTAATTTGTGTTCTGAAGATGAACGAAGGTCTTACGGGTTTGGATCGACATGAGGGTGAGTAATTAATGACAGAATTTTCATTTTTGGGTGAACTATCCCTTTAATTGGTTTTGTTTTCTGCTCAGACTTTTATAGCCAAAGGTGGATCGCAGTGTAATAACAACATACAGGGATATTAGAGATGCTAATAAATAAATATGAGTAAATATTCTTTGGTAGAATCATCCATATCTTGGCCTCTTTGGATGGCTTTTAATTAAGGTCATCACAGACATGCAGCAATAAGAAGAATCTCAGCCACAATCCCTGAGGCCCTGAGTACTGATTTCAGCCTCTGTGTGTGAGGACACTATATTAACACGCCTCACTAAATGGCACACTGCTTATCTCATTCATAGCTAAGTGGAACGGGAGCTTATGGAAAAATTAGCTTTCAGTTTATCCTTCCCATTACCATCCAAACACAACACCGTATTTAGAAAGCATGACTCTGTCCAGACAATGGCTCTACAGACAAGAACAGATGATGTCAAGAGTATCATCTGTTGTGATACAGCATGCATTTGTTCTGAATTGCACTAAATTTGCTGCAAGGATTGGTGGTTCAACACTAAACATGCAGATTTGCTAGTACATTTTAAAGACATCATATAAGGGTTAGGGTTAACTCTTACTTACAATAAACTGGAAATTTAGTTTCATGACTTTCTTCCATTCATGACATGACCAGATAACAGAAAATATCCTTAACTCTCCCTGTTATTGATGTATGAGGAAGCTACAGAATGTAATTGCCATATTTTAACTGAAAATTCATTTGTGAACAGCGGAGTGGTGTTTTAGGTGTGAATTAAATGTTCAATTGAAGAGCCCCTCTGCCTTTTATTCACTTGATCACAAGTGTTTTCTAGCAGAAGTAGTTCTAGTCCCCTATATTTGTCTTATGACATCTCTGCAGCACACGACTATGCTGGTTTTAGGATTTTATTTTTACAAAATGTTCAGCCATTTTTGGGATGTAATATAACTAACAAAGAGCATATTGAGCCAGCACAATGAGGAAGGATTATCAGCACTCCTGCCCCATCCTATCTCCTGAAGGGTTCAGAGGTCACTCCTCTCTCATGGTTATAAACACTGTGCTGTCGAGAGGAAGGATCATAATAATACTATGTTTTAACCACCTTCACGCTTCAAGTTCACACACTTTAACGGGCTGGAGCGCAGGTTGTCGTAAGTACTGCTTACAGGATGTTTTGACTTAAAGAACCATTCAATAAATTAGATTATTTTGTATTATATGTATGGCTATTTTTTTGTCTATAGGTTTTAGTTTTCCCCCTAGTTGTGGTTGATTTACACTTGTTCACATGCATTTGGGGGATTTATTTTTTCTTTTTATTCTCGGAACCTAATTGCAAGAAATCATAAGTCATAGCAAATCTGTGAAGGCTAATTGTTTCTGCACATAAAAAAGCTAACTATTTAAATTTTGAATCCACTGTATCCCACCAGTGCTGTGATCTTTATGTACTTTCAACTTTGCATTGACTTTTGTTTGGCGGACGTATTATTCCTTCCAATAGGGAAGTTATGTTTCATAAATGATTATCTGACTGCAATATATTCCTCACGTTTACACTCTGCGGCATATAAATGTCTTTTGTTCTTAGTGTAGGTATACATTTTTTCCTGTAAACACAATTCGCAGTAGATGTCATATTTCCTCAACATGATAAACTCATGAAAGACCGCTGCAAAAGCTGAAGTATGTTGTAGTTTTTGCATATTGTTTTTAATATACCGGATTTCTAGAAAAAGGAATATTGGCTTAATCTTCTATAACCAATTAGCAGAATATAGTATGCAGTTCAAGCTACAGAAAAAAATGGCAGTGCTTTTGGAATAAAAGTTTTGGGAAAACTCACACCCAGATCCATTTCACAAACATTTTTCTTATTTGTGGCTCTTGTATGCAGATCGAAGAAAAGACTCTTTCTCATGCTGAGATCTCTGTTTTGTTTGGTAGCAGATTGATCACACTTCCCCCTCCAGGCTCACAGTAGTTGCTGTAGGTGGACCATTAAAGCTCTTCAGTACTTTTCTAGCTGGGAATCTATCAGCCCCCTGGAAAAAGGGATAGATCTAGATTTTTTTTCTTACAATAACATGGCTCTCAAGATGAAAACCCATTTAGATATTTTTTAAATAATCAAATAAGTGATTAATGTCGGTTAAGTGCAACAAACATCTGCATTCTGTAAAATAGGTTTCGGTTCGGGTCTTTTGTACTTGCTACTTTAAATACTTTACTTTACTCAAGATGCCTTAGGAGTTACCAAAGATGAGCATGACTGAAAGTGTTTTTTTTTTCTTCCTACTTACATTTGAGTATAAAAATCAAACCCCAACAATAAAACGAACTAGATAGGTTAGATGATTACCGTAAAAGTCTATAACTGTCGCCAGTAGTTCATACTGCTGTTGAAACATTACAATGAGACCAGTTTTCCTGTCTGTTAATGTGATGTTCGTCATTAAGCGTTACTGATTTTTGTAGAACAATTTGGTAACACTTTAGTATAGGGACCAATTCTCATTATTACCTAGTTACTTAGTAGCATGCCTATTATTAACATATTGGCTGTTTATTAGTACTTATAAAGCACATATTCTGCATGACCATATACTACATCCCTAATCCTACCCAATACCTAAACTTAACAACTACCTTACTAACTATTAATAAGCAGCAAATTAGGAGTTTAATGAGGCAGAAGTCGTAGTTAATGGTTTGTTTATAGTGAGAATTGGACCTTAAAATAAAGTGTGACCAACAATTTAGATGTATTTCTGGTGTATTGAGTTGGATTTCTGTTTCTTCACAGAGGTTTCTAAGCGAGGAGATAATGAGAGTTCACACACATACCAGATTCTGCTTTCTCTGCATGCTGACCCTGCTGTATCATCAGTGCAGTCACTGCCATGAAGGAGGGTCCCACCATCACCACGGGCACAACCGCAGTGACCACGACCACGTTCACAGTGACCTGCAGATTTCAGAATTGTCCTGCGATGGTTTATCAGACCAGTTTGTGCACAGCAGCCATGGTGAACCTGCAGAGAACGAGCAACATTACTACATCCAGCAGTTGTTCTGTCGATATGGCCACATGGGTCGTCTGGATTTTAAAGGCTTCCAGAGTCTGCTGTTGAGTTTAGGGCTGGGCAAAGTGCGCGTTGTTGGGCTGGAGCATGAAGAACTGGGCCACGATCATGTGGCACACTTAGATGTTCTCGAAGTTCAGGAAGGTCAGCACTCACATTCAGCCGACCATCCGCATCTTCATCAGAAGCCCCACATCTCACACAAGACCCATCAACATTCCCACCATGAGAATGAACAACACGGCCCTGCCGAGGAGCTACCGTGCAGCAAAACACTTGGCACCGGAGCCGAGAGCACCACTCACAGTGGATCTGAGGGACATGATCATGGGGGACATGATCATGATCACCATGACCATGATCATGATCATGATCACCATGACCATGATCATGAACATGATCACCATGACCATGAACATGAGAAAGACAGTGATCACAAACATATCCACAGGCATGTTACGGACAGTCCTCATACTCAAGATGACCATGACCAACTTGAGCAAAAGAGTAGTGAACATGCACAAGAAAATAATGATCTCAGTGACCAAAACCACCATCATCACGACCACCATCACCACAAGCATCCCCACCCTCATCTCCATGGTTCTGACAGCGTGGAGCACAACACAGCAACCCCTCATCTCACACCCAGAATACAGCCTTCTGCCCCAGCTGAGCTACCCACCACACAACCCAGAAGAAACAGCAGACCACCTAAAGCTAGAGCTCATCGAGGCCGCAACAAGACTAGCATCAGTGTTACTCAGGCTGGCGAGCTGGAGACAAGAAGAGATGACCATGTCCATAGCAGCCAGGATCACAGCCCTATTCAGCCGCAGAGGGGCAGGAGAGAGGTTCCAGGAGAAGATCTGTCTGTGAAATCACATGCACATGGTGTTCTTCACCAACAAGAGGAGGTACATCTTAGTGTCTGTCCTATGTGGTTGTTTATGAATGGCTTTGACCTTCAGATGTGCCTCAAGAATCATTTGAAATGGTTTCACTTAGTTGGTCTAATCAGGGATTAGTCCACGTTGTAGAAATTCTTTGTGGTATCAAAGCACTTCCTTTGTAACAAATAAAATAGTTACTGCCAAACTTCAGATGACCTGCTTTAAGCAGGGTAGCCATGTTATAATGCATAATTCATAGTTGTTATAGTTCATAGTTTTGTGGAATCAGTAGTGGAGTACAGTAATAAACGAATTTAACGTTTAATGTTAAAATAACATTAATGCCCATGCACCTTCTCTGCTGCTGTAGCATTTTTTTATCACAGTTTTTTTTGTCCTTTTTAAATACTATATGATATATTTTGTTATTTTTTCTTGTTTGTACACTTTAATTATCAGTAGCTTAAACTGAAATTTTTGTATATTGAAGTGTAATGTTTTGATGTGCATAATTTCTGCATGTGTAATTTTTGATATGTATCTTTTGGTAATTATTTTTCATTCTTATTTGCAGATCAATACATTTAATGTCTTCATCCATCTTCCTTATTGTAGGATGAAGTATATTTAAATAAAAATGTATTTAAGCATTGTTCATCGATCAGTACCTTTTAATTACATTCTTTTAATACTTAAGTACATTAAAAATCAAATAATTTTTTACTTTCACTCAAGTAAAATTGAAAATGAGTACTTAAATGTTTAATATTTAATTAAGGCATCTGTACATTTACTCAAATAGTTGATTTGTGTACTTCATCCACCACTAGGAATTGAAGGTTATTTGGTTAATTAGCATAATTAGTTCAAGTCTGCTTTATTGTCAATTCTTCCACATGTACAGCACATACACACAGAGAATTAGGAATTGACACTAAACTAACCACCATGCTGATTAGACTTTCAGACAGCCATTAACTAGTGGATTTCACACATTCCTGGTACTAATATTAGATATATTTTATATGTGATTTATATTTCGTGTATGTGTTGAAAAATGAATAAAGGAGAATCGAGCAATGAATCTAAGTAAAACTCTTTGTCTATCTCTCCCTCAGTGTCTGAATTTAACGGAGCTGCTACAACAATACGGACTGAGCTCGGGTTCTCTCATATCTCCAGTGCAGTTCACCTATTTATGTCCAGCACTGCTCTATCAGATAGACAGACGCTTCTGCATCCTTCATTATCACCACGTTGAGGCTGAAGTACAAGATGAAACATCTTCAGGTACAAGAGGTCCTGTACTAGTATAATTCTGTTTTTACAGAGTATATTCACTCGTCTACAATTCTCATTATCTGTGTAGTTTGCTAGCTTATAAAGAGGGTAAACGGACATAGTAAATGGTTGAGAATAATTGCTAAGCCATATTAAAAGTTTAATGTTGATAGAGTTACCTTAGTTGAAACTTGAGTCCAGTGACAAGAGTCCCGGTCTAATCCACTGATTGTGTTTCTGCAGTGTGGGTCTGGATGTGGGGCTTTGTGTCGATCACCATCATCAGCCTGCTGTCTCTGCTGGGTGTTGTTCTGGTGCCCATCCTTAACCAGTCCTGCTTCAAGTTTCTCTTGACCTTCCTGGTGGCACTGGCAGTGGGAACCCTCAGTGGTGATGCCTTACTGCATCTACTCCCTCATGTGAGTTTACTCTTTGGGGCAAACTAAGATTTAACCGTTGCAAAGGTACAAACTACACAGCCCAAGGAATCAAACCTTTCTTATGCCTTACAGTCTCAAGTTGGCCATGATCACAGCCATGGAGGACACTCAGAGGAAGAACCTGCAGAGTTTTTTCTTACCAAGTTTGATGGAGTTTGGAAAGGACTGACTGCACTAGCAGGAATCTACCTCCTCTTCATCATTGAACATTGCATTGGCATGTTCAAACACTACAGGGACCAAAGGGTGAGAGGCACCACAAAGTTTAAACACAGGAAAGAGGTGTTAGAAATCTTGCAAAATGGCAAGTAAGCTGCTTTTTACTTCACACATGCTTGTTCACGACTGACAGAGCTGAGAGCTATGGAAGACTAAAATATAATCCATAATTGCTGCAGAGAGTGGGGCTTTTAGTACACAGCAAAACAACCTTGGATTTTATTCTCAGAACCTAGTGCTTATAAAGGTGCTTGCTTCCACAGGGAAGCCTCTGCCAAGGGAAGAAGAAAGGAGAGCAGGCAAAGATTGGGAGGAAGTTGTCAGACCACAAACTCAACAGGCATTCAGATGCCGAGTGGCTCCATCTGAAGCCTCTAACAGAGGGTGGGTCTTCATCATTTCGTCATCAAATCCCTGCACACTTTATTTGGCTTTTAAGTAAAGTTGTGAGTGTTGATATCCTGGAGATGTTTCCGAGTCTCTTCCAATGTACTGAACTTTTGTAAGGATGTTATAAGAACAAACTTCAGATGTAACTCAGCGTTGTAGTTAAGATCAGCTCATTTGAGTCCGAGTCCAAGGGATAGTTTAGTCAGACAAGACCGAGAGCAATGTGGTTGAGTCAGAGTTTTGAGTCTGAACAATTCAGCCAGTGTACTATGACACTGGAGTAACTCCTTCCATTCATTTTTCATGCAGGAGAAGGTACAACGTGTGAAGCCGGACACAATGACACTCAGATGACGGAGTTGCAGCCTTTGGATTCACCCAGCAAAATGCCACTCTCCATCTCTGATTCAGATCACCCCTACAAGGAGCCAGTAAAAACAGAAGAGGACAGTAGGCCAAAGGCAAAATCAAAAAAGCATGGACATGGGAACGGACACGGACATGGCCATGGTCACTCCCACCACGGGCACTGTCACTCTGACCAGGAAATGAAGGATGCGGGCATCGCCAGCATAGCATGGATGGTGATCATGGGAGATGGCATGCATAACTTTAGTGATGGACTTGCTATAGGTCAGTTTCTGTACATTGAAAACATTAGCAGATTTGTTTGTCTTCAATTAAAAGGGTTTCTGTATCTGAGGAACTGTGTTTATCACCTACAGGTGCTGCTTTCAGTGCTAATATTACAGGTGGCATTAGTACTTCAGTGGCTGTGTTCTGTCACGAACTGCCCCATGAACTAGGTAAGTGGCTTAACCAGTTGCAGTATGCCGAGAGACAAAATGTTGAAATAGCAGGTCCATTTTCTTACATTTGACAGATGTGTGTGCAGTAAAAGTTAAAAAGTAAAAGCCTGTCCACACCAAGAACTAAAACTATATTAGTGTTCACAACATCAACGAACAATAATATTCTGTTCGTCATGTCTGTCGCTTTAAATGCTTGAGCTCTATAAAGTGGATTCTGATTGGCTGTCAATGTTTTTATTATTCATCAGCTGGAAAAAACATTCTGAAAATGATTTTAACAATATTGTTCCTCTGTGTCGTTTTCGTTATCACTGTGGTGTGGATTCCCCTGTTCTCATAGAATTAGAATAATTATTAAAACTTTATCCTTGTTAACATCGTCCTTGGTGTGAACGGGCCTTAACCCAGAAAAAAGGTGGGAAAAAAGAACATGTCAGTGAGAAAGGTTAGACTTAGCTTTAGGGTGATGTGGTGGTCCTGTTTTGAGTCTGCAGGTTTTATCGCCAGTGAGGTCTCCTTTATCCATTATCAATTTACATCAACTCTGGAACATCAAGGCGAAGAGCTCCAGGTGTTTTTCAGTGCTCTCCTTTTCATGTTTAAATGAATAAAAAACAAACAGTGAACGAATACAACACAGCCGCACATACAACTTTTAAAACACAGGAAAGCTTTTATGAAGTTTTGAGTTTGCTGTCTAGAGGGCCACTAGTTTTTAAATTCCCCTTTTGGTTTAAACAAAAGAACCAGGCATTACAATACCACAGAAGAAGTAACATAAACAGAGTATGCCTTTGATGTAACAATGATCTTTTTGCATTTGATGTTGTTTACCTTTACTGTCTGCCATCCAGTGGAGGTGATGGGACTTGATTCCTCAAACACTAATAACGTTTGAATGGAGCAGCTCTTTTTATTTTGTCTGAGAATCTATCTCCCCATGTTGTGGCTGGAGAAAGACAGCTATAATAAAGAGTTTTTTACTACCCTGCAGTGCCGTTAATTGCCTTTGATGACTGATTTAATTGGGCCAGGTGACACAGAGCAAAGGTCCAGAGTGCAGTTTATAGAGAACCAATGGTCGTGAAGGAACCTCACATATATATACAGTAATTAGGAACAAAGGAGCAGCAGCATAGAATTGCTGAAACAGCAAAAATTCTCAGACCGAGGGACGGATTGCGAAGGACAGCCCGATCTCACTGCAGTTATTGTCAGGTTTAGCATGGGCTAAACTAACTATACCCACACTGCTGTATTATTTATTGTACATTAATAGTACACATTTGTGTTTGCCTCCAGGTGACTTTGCCGTTTTATTGAAGGCTGGGATGTCAGTGAAGCAAGCCATTGTGTACAACGTCCTCTCTGCTCTGATGGCTTATGCTGGCATGGTGATCGGCACGGCTGTGGGACAGTACACGCACAACGTCACCAGCTGGATCTTTGCCGTTACTGCTGGCATGTTTCTCTATGTGGCATTAGTGGATATGGTAAGAGAACCAAAATGCGGATTTATTTGCTTGCTAGTTGGGCTGCATAAATATGTTATAATTATTGATTGCTTGAAATGATTTATTACATGCCATCTTGGGGGCCTTGCATTCCACCGCACTGCTTGTCCATTGTTTTTCTATGTTAACATGCTCTAGATGGATGTTTGAGCATTATGCTCACGTCTCGTGTCTTTTGTAGTGTCTCATGCATGTCATTGTTTGTTAAAAGAAGTTGAACTTGTAAAAAAAGAAAAAAAGCATCTCTAGACCTTGCCAATTTTATTTTATTTTTTTAAATCTACAGCCCCACATTTTGAGTTTTCCAATGCAAACATTTGTGTGAATGGCCTAAGCTGACAACTGTTTGTGAATTCATTTAGTGCTGTTTTAAACATCAGTAAACATAGTCACATTGGGCCTCTAAACAGCATAAAAAGCACAATTATTCAAGTTTCAAATAAATTATACACTATTATTGACAAAATTAGAGGGCTTCCATTCAGTCACTGCATGTTCACAATGTTTGGTCCCTGCAGTTCAGCACAAGCTCACTGAGTTCTGCACTTCTGTGAACAATTAAATGATTATAATCAACAGAGCTGTCTACACTGCCCAATAAATTTCTTATTTACACTATTGACGCCTTGCTGATTATAATAGAAGCATTTTTTGTCCCAACACATTTTATTTTTGTCCCAAAACTGCAGCATGCAATATATATTGGGTGTTATACCTACATACTGTATGTCTAAATTGCAAACAAGTGGTGCAACATCCAAATCCAGTATGATTCCAGAAGATGCACAAAGGTTTTTGCAATACATATTTTAATGTGCCATTTACGAACGTGTGAAAAATTGAAACAAATCTGTAAATTGAATGCTGCAATCGACACCGTTCATAAATAGTTAATTGTTAGATCTTTTTTATTTAGATTTTGCAGCCCTTTCTCTAGATTATTGGTAATGCTTAATCTATATGCATAATTTATTGTATATGCAGCAAACCTTGATTTTTGTGTTTGTCGTGAGCTATCAATGTTAGAATGTTATTTCTCCTCTTCTTGTTCTTCAGTTGCCAGAGATGTTTCATGGTGACAGTGAGGAGCACAAGCGCTGTGAGATGGGTCACTTTGTCCTGCAGAACTTGGGCATGCTCACAGGGTTTGGCATCATGTTGCTGATCGCCATCTTCGAGGATCACATTGTGATTGACTTTGGCTTCTAGCCGGAGCCTGAGGTCAGGGGTGGCGTCATTCATCAGCTACATTCACACACGTGCTTTGCCTTAAAGTGGCTTAGTTTTGTGATGGTACAGTCTTGCAGGCATGTCTCAAAAGACAGCATCAGTAGCTTACAGTGGACATGGACATGCAAACAAATGTGTTTACATTTCTTCATCTCTCATCTCTTCCTCTCTAGGCCACTCAAAACAGTTGCTTGTCATCTTCAAGGTCTTTTGTAGTTGTAGCTTCTAGACTGTTCTCTCTTGTCCTTATTCAGTTCTTTTTTTTTTGAGTATGTGTGTCCAATCAGACATATCCACAGCACATGAGTAGCACTCCCCAGTATTTGGGTTATCCCTTTAATATGGTAGTATTTTATTTTTTTTTTTTGTAGGACTGTGTCCTAGAGAGAAGCAGCTATTCATTATTCACTCATTCAGTGTCATGTTTAGCTCTTTCATTCATCTGTATTGTATCTCATAGTCCATTCATTCGTAACTGGCGTGTTGTGCTGTGTATGTCTAGTGTGTCACACCATCTCAGTGTCAGGCACCGAACTGTGCTAATATGGAGCAACAGAGTCCAACTGGTATCAACTCTGCAGTTTTTTTTTTTGTTTTTTTTATTGAGAAGTACTGGTCAGTACTGTGTGCCAGGATCATGAAAAACAACACACTTGAGCTCTTTTCTTTACTGGATTGTGCTTTGCTGTCAACATTGACTACTTGTTTGTTTCTTACAATATATTTACTGTTCATAGCGATGGGAGCGTCCTCAGTCTTAGAATTTCATTCGCTTGTCTTTTTTATTATTATTTTGTATTTTTATTGGCTAAGATTGTACTAGTGATTTGGCCAACTCTGAGTATTGAAGAAATAGGTATGCAACTGTTGAATAACCTCTGACACGGTGCTGCCAAAAGAGCGATCGCATTCATGAGGTCAGCTGAATAGTGACTGAACAAGTCCAGTATTAAAGCTAATGCTAAAACACTGATTTTAAATGAAGAATATCTGTCCATCAAGGAATACATCAATTGTCTTTGGGAAGTCTATTTGTTCATTGATAAAATAGTAATTATCATGATCTAGTCTACTTTCTGAGTTGATACTTTCATATCCAAGTGGAGTTGTAAATAATGATCTTGTTACAGTTGAAGAAGTTCATGAAATAATTATCTTCCCCAAAAGAGATTTGCTACTGAAGACTTGTTTTTTGTTGAAGAAGTTGGCATTTTGAAACACATTTGTTACTTTATTTTAATTATATGACATGTTTGGTATTACTGGATAATTTGTGCAAAATTCAGAATGTTATTTTGTGAGACATCAGCACCTTTTATACACTGACCATCTAAAAACTTGCTCTCTGGGAGAACCATTCCTTTTTTTAACCTAAACATAGAGTTAGCCATTATGAAATGTTCTTTTTTGACAATCTTAAATGCTCTCGTTTGTTGACACCCTCCTATTATTAAAATGAATGCACACATTGGCCTTATGTGCACTTGTATGAAACTACAATCAAATCTATAGAACGTCTGTTCATCTGTCCCCCATTGATGTGATTCTTGTTAATGAGTGTGCAACATTTTGATTGTGCCAAATATGGGCTGTGTTTCTAAAATTGTGCACAAACGCTGCCTGTGCCCGCAGTCGCCTCTACACATTCCACTGGCTGTGTTCGCTGCTTGAATCTTCTACCGTCAAGAGTTGGTGGGGCATGTTATGTGATTCATGCTTATCCTGGCACCATGTGACATCCATTTATTTGTTCTCGTGGGTGTGTATCGTTATTAATTGCATTCATCAAATATACTTGATTGGATGGAAACATGCATGAGACAAGTGAAAGTGTCTAGTTTTCATTTCTGTTATAAAATGGAGAGATGAGAACACTTCCAGTTGATTTCCTCTTTCCCTGAAGAACTTAATTTTCACAGCTTGAATGTAAAGCCAATGAGTTTTAGGGGTCATGTGAGCAAACCTAATCAGAGTCTTAAGAGATTAGGTCTAAATCCTGTGTATGTCTTTGAAATGAAGTTGTCCATTTTGTTAAACCGAAACCGAGCTCTAGAGCTCAAATGAAACACCTCAGTTAAGTGGTGCAAAGAAATAAACTTGATAATAAATAAAAACGACGCACACTGATTTTCTTAATGCTTTACAGTGTATTCCAAAAAAGGACCATCCAGATATTTACTTACATTTGAGTATTGTCAGTTGTTTGGGAAGACATTTATTTTTAAATCCTCTGTTTACACAGCTTGGATGTTAAAGCGTTTTCAATACATTTGCCATTCTTGCTGATTGTCTGTGCATTTCTTTGGCAGAAGTGGAAAATAAAGTTTGCAAAGCCTACTTTGAGTGTTTCAGCTTATTAAAAATCTCTCTGAAAACTGTTCTACTCATATATATATATATATATATATTATTTAAAATGTATAATTTATTAACTATTAAAAATCTATTCATTATATATTTTTATTATTATTTCTATTAATATTTTTGTAATTTTCGAATACAGGAAGACTTATTCATTTATTAAAAAGTATAATTTGTCTCTAGACAGACGGTATTTGATGGTATTTCTAAATCTAAAATATTATTTAGCTACAAATACTTTACTATAGAGTGAAGTAAAGGATACAAGAAGTGTATCTATGAGTTAAGCTGACACAGTAAGGCCACGCCACGACGGATCCAGTGCTCTGGAGGCACGTCTGAATTCAGGGTCACTGCTATGACGTAGTTGGTGGAGTGTCCAGTGGTGGAAAGGGTTCCACGTCTTTCGCTGGTCTTGTAGACAGGAGAAATGTAGCACTGACGCTCAGGAATGTCCTGCTTCTTCATGGGCTTCAGCCAGATCTGCAGATAGACAGTGTGATGTGTAGATGAGAAGCATTTTCTTTGCTCATCCTCTCTCCCTACAATCTGATTTGATTACTATATAAATATGTAATTTCAGTGTAATGGGATGTGGTTGGTTATTTCAACATTTCTGAGTCACTAAGAAAATGTTGGTGAATCAACATGCATGTTTCCCTTGTTGATAATCTAACCCATTTTCCTTGGCTTGGTATCCAAGATAACTCAAAAACAAAGAAGACCCAAAACCCCTTTATCAGAAGCACTAAATGTACCTACTCTGAAACAAACAGGTACATTCAAAGTTGGTGGTTTTAATATGACTTATGGATGTGTTTATTTTCAGTGTTTCAGAAATTAATAATGGCCTTCGAAAGAAATTAGCATTTCAAAGTTTTACCGTAAGTAACAAATGCATGTTTTTAATTAAGTTCAGCTCTTGTCAAAAAGTTATTTTGGTAATGAGTTGTCCTGAAATGTCTGAATATTAAACGGCAGTGAATGCATTATTTATTGTGGCAATGTGCATTGTGCAGAATAAAGAGGGCAGAATTAATAGAAATCTTTGTTTTCTCTTCCTGTTCTGTTAAGAATACTTAACAACCTATTTGAATCTCACCTGCTATGATATTCATGTCATATATAGACATAACTAGAATTCCATTCATATACTGTATTTAAATACAAAACAACATTTCTATTATGAAAGAGTTTTCTTCTTAAACTTTCTTCAAGAGACCCAAGAGTTGGTTGAAGTACATGGTGATGAAAAGAGCCATCTTCAAAGAAATGTGAAAAATGGGGTGTCAGACTCAGCACAGACCACCTGCTGGGTGTATGCTGCAGAATTTCAGATTCCCCTTAAAATGTTTTATGTATGTATTATTATTTGGTACTGAAGAAAGAATAAAGCAATTCTCTAGCTGTGTTGCGGCTACACTGGAATTAAAATCGGCATGTTTGCTTTCTTAATACATTATCAGTACCATTTTTTTTTTAAAGTGTGCACATTTGATTTATTTTTTAGCATTATTGTCCCTCAATTTAAAATTTTTGCATGCTGCTGTGAAATTAGAAAATCTTTTCTCTCAAAATTGATTCTTGTTTCCATAGTTACTGTTATAGTTTGCCTACAGGCAAATAAATTTTTTGAACTGCACTGAAACTTTTGAATTGCAAGTATTTGCAGGTTTCATTTTTCAACCGACTGCTCATTCCAAAGGAATGACTTTCTTGTGACTTGAATCTCTGTGTGTAATATGTACCCACATCAGGGGCTATGCATGATGCCATCAGCCTCATTTGACTGAGATTATACATTTTACAGCTTCTCACCACAGGCATGGCGTCATGCAGGATTTTGGAGAAAGACTCTGCCAAGCGCTTTGTTCTCCGATCCCATCGGGCACCATCCAAGAAAAGGCCACGGATGTAAACACCTGAGCAAAAATAAAGAAAGTACTGAGGATTAATAATTAGAAAAAAATGGGTACTGCATAAGGGCTTTCGCACTATAGGAACTAGCCCCCAAGCTACTACTAAACTAGCTTGGGTGGTCCCCCAAGAACTACATTTTCCCCTAGGGCCAGTTTCCGCCAGTAAGAACTCTTAAGTGACGTAATCCGGCTAACAACAATGTCATCTGAACACAGCACTTAACAACGTCAACAACTGGAGGATGGAAAAGTGCCTGGACTTAAGAGTCAGTCCATTGATCACTGTTTTCCATATTCGTGGAGTTAGTTTGTGGAGTAAGTGTATGCAAACTGTATTTAAATGGCTTTTTAAAAAATGGTGGAAGCCAGTATGACATGCATTTGGCCAATCAAGAGCCCGAAAAAGGGTATTTATTGTTTTAATTTCTTAAAAGATGACAAAATTTGAAAGCTGAGATTACCTAAAGTAACCTACTCTGTCTTGTCTGTCAGCGCGTTGTCAGTTTACTCTTTGCTTTGCAATGTATTTTTCACTTATGTAAGAATGTGTGGCGTGAGAGCGGCATGGATTGTTGGACATAGCAACAGTAACGAAGGGGGGTGGGTCTTTGTGAAGGGTCAATTTAGTCCCCCCAAAAGGCATTCCTATAACTAAAATAGTTCCCAGTTACAGTAGTGCAGTGCAGACATGCCAAAAAAGCTTGTTCATCCACCATTGTTATAGGAACTATGTAAACGTACGTCCGGAGTAAAAGCCCATCATGAGAATTTTAGAATAAAATTAAAGGGAAAGTTCACCCAAAAATAAAAAAAATTCTGTCATTAATTACTCGCCCTCATGTCGTTCCAAACCTGTAAGACCTTCGTTCATCTTCGGAACACAAATTAAGATATTTTTGAAGCATTCTGAGATCTCTCTGACCCTCCCATAGACAGCAAGGATCCTAACACGATCAAGGCTCAGAAACATAGCAAGGAGATCGTTAAAATAGTCCATGTGACATCAGTGGTTCAACCGTAATTTTACAAAGCAACAAGAATACTTTTTGTGCGCAAAGAAAACAAAAATAACTTTATTCAACAATGTGTCTCCTCCGCGTCACCCTATATAGCGCCATTTTGGAGAGTATCACATACGTAAACAACATACTGTATGTATGCGGATACGTTGTTTACATTCAGATCAAAGCGTAAACAACGTACACAGCATACGTTTTTTTACGTATGTGATACTCTCCAAAATGGTGCTATAGGGTGAAAGTATTCTTGTTGCTTTGTAAAATTACGGTTGAACCACTGATGTCACATGGACTATTTTAACGATCTCCTTGGTACATTTCTTTTCAAGACACGAGGGTGAGTAATTAATGACAGAATTTTCATTTTTGGGTGAACTATCCCTTTAACAAGCCAAAAACAGATATAGTTTAAGAAGTGAGCATGAGAACGTGGATGTAACCTTTTTTCTTAGTCTATAAAAATTGACTGTTGAAATCAAAATATATAGGGAATGTAAATAACTTTGCAAAGCAAACTGTTGAATCACAATTCCCAATGTCCCTACTATGCAAGACTACAGGACACACATTAAACCAATATCATGAAACCTGTTACCTTAAATTACTTTAAATTCAGAAGCAGCTGATTTTACATAGACTGATCATTGACCATGTTCACACTTGAGTCACATTCATCCATCTTCAGCAATGGCTATAATTAAAACATACTGCTTTAGGTCAAACAGTGTGTTGTGGTGACTAATGTGATGTCTCTTCACAAGGACACAGGCTTAAATGGCTGTCACTGGTTAAAATTTAGCTGGGAGCGTAGTTTGATTGGCTTGTAAGCTCAAATATTTAAGACACGAGGAGCTGCAAAAAATGTACTTAAAGTATAATTTTGCCATTAAAAATTTAAGAGTAGAAAATCCTCAAAATAATACTTGAATAATAAAGTACTTTACACCCCTGCACACAAATGCACACTAACTAAAGACCCATCCCATTTTATACACTGACTGACTGAACTATAAAAAATAAAGTAGACACAACAAAGTATCTGTTAAAGTCAAAGACACTCATAAACAGCCTCATGCAGTGTGTGATGGCCTCAGAGAGATGGGTTTCCTCTGGAGAGATGCTCATCATGTACTGATGAAAGAGCAGCAGGGGTCTGATGTCAGAGCACTGTAATGTTGACTCTGATTGATGGCACTCAGACGCGGCGAGGGGTTAATGAAACTGTGCGTCTCTCTTCCCTTTTGTCACTTGTTACCCATTTCCCTCTCATATATTTTACATTTCATGCTTGTCAGTACTCCCTCTTTGTCTTTCTCACCATCCTCTGGGGGGTTTTTGTGTTCCTTGTCCTCCATGACTTCAAAGTCGAAGCTGAGCAGGTCAATGGGGATGGTGTATTTTCGGGCGTAATTCTGCTGGCTTCCAGTGAGGAAGGCCTGAGTGAAAAAGAACCCGGACATCCAGAATACTGCAGGCGTGCCATCCACATACCAACCCTGTATGGATGACACAGATGATACTGATATTAAAGACCAAAATCAAGAAACACAAGCAGTCACAACTAATTCTAGAGGCATAACTTGAGGGCCAAAAAGAAGCCTTTGGAATGTAACAGGCTCAAAGTTTTATTTTTTTATTTTATTGAAAGGAAGGGTACTTGTATAATACATTTACAGTTCAGTCCTTTGCAGAAGCAGTGTTGTAATCTGAGCTCACTGAATGAGACAGTACGTCAGCTGCATTTCATGTGTTTTTCCCGTGGCTCACAATGCACACTAGAATGCTTTCTGCTTTAACTGCTTTATGTATGAATTTGCATTTTAGTCTCCCAACAACTCACTGGAAAACAATCGATTTGAAGTAAAGACTTTGAATGAATCACTATAAATTATTATGATGTATTGTGGTTACATTATTATTACAAGACTGTGTTTGTGGAATCCAAAAATGTATTTATATAGCATTTGTATTCATATGGCAGTTATTTGAAATATACGTAAATCTTATTATGTAAATTTCCTTACTGTAGCTCTTGGTAAATTTAATACATCCTTGTTTAATAAAAGTATTTTTATTTATTTTTATTTTTTTTTTTAACATCTTACAGACACC